GAGAAATTTTTAAATTGCAGCATTAATAATACTGAAAGCAGCGTTCGAAATTCTTCTCTTCATACGCTTGAAAGGAGTGGCGATTCGAGTGTATTGGATTATGACTCCGTTATGGCTGTTCCTCATTATTGCAATTGTTGAACTTACACGGCGATTGATAAGCATTCACAATAAGTCAACGAGCACAGCAGCGCAATAGCGGAATGCACATATTGTCTGATTTATTTCTTTATTGGAGCTTTTTATGGCACATTTATTCCCAAATGAGCCGACACGAATAAAATATTACCATTCATTATTCTGTATTGTTTAATCAGTTCGGTTCCTTTGACAATTATTCCACAGTTTGTATCATAAGAGCGAGTCATCGTTGGGAGAAGATTCAATCCATATACTATATGCAAAAAGGTTTGCGAGGACAGCTTCAATGAGGAGAGATTTTATTATACATTCGTCAGTTTTTATACAGCATTTTCATCAATATGAATAAACGAATAATATTCTAATCACTTCATAGAAAAATGCGCCAACATGAAATCGCGCAAATTAAAAAGAAGTCACAAGATAAATTACGCTTCCAAATAGACACAATGAATAGCCTAATCTTACAAATAGAATAAAATTACAATGAACTTCCGAACTGTGGATAATTCATTGACTATCTTCCGTGATACGGTATATCCGATCGTTTCTATTACCCTCTTTAAACTGAACTGAAATATACCCGTATCACAAGAATCTGTTTCATTTAACAATACAAATTATCGTGCACTGATGAAGGAAGTCTGTTTTTAATATACAGTTGACTTCCTCCAGATAAAATGACTTTAAAAGCCGTATTTGGCTCAAGATAAGTATTGATGACAACAATTCAGTTGATTATGAATCATGAAGATACTTTGGTTGGTAGATAACCATTGGATGGTTACTGTTATTGGAATGTGGCAATGTGAGAAGAGAAGGAAAAGTAGTGCAGGGAGGTATGTACAAAATGCCAGGCAGAATGAACGCTTAGATTAGCATGTCAGGAGTGACTGAAAACACTTGAACTGAACACATATTGCAACAGGTTGATTCGTATACTCGCTAGTGTTCGCATTGCTATTAGAGAATGATCAAATTGAAATAGATTATGAAACAAACAAATGCATAACGATGAGATTCACTCAGAATGAGAACAAATCGCATGTATAAATGTATAACGCACATCCCAAACATTCTTTTGAATCTCAAATAAAGACCGGATGCGGTAAATGAAGACCGTAGCATGTTGCCGCGAAAGGATTCTGTAAGCATGCAATATATTTTCGAGCAACAAATTAGTGGCGTTAGTTAAACCAGTGAAGAGATGAACTAAATGCGAATAATC